TAGGGGAGGGGGTGCTGTTCTTACCACTAGCCTCCAAACGTAGATCTATGTTTTATTTTTCGTGCCTCCAAATTTGGCACTAATTGGCTAAGATGCCTGGTCAGCATAGAATGGTCTTAACCCTCGGTGCGCGTTGATTAAAAAAAAAATCTGGACCATTTTAGTATCTGAGGCGAGCAGCATTCAACCTGATCGGTGCAGCTAGAGCAAACAGGCGGCAATCAACCACGGATCACTGATGACATGTCGGTATTAACACTCCCCTTTTAAGAGGAAAATTGTCATCTTGCCAGAATGTCCTATAACCTATGTCCCTAAGTAAAAAGAAAAGTCTGGAACTGTAATTTCGGCAGGCTGGCTGGCTGATTGACTTGTATCTCCGTCTGTCTGTGACTGTATCTAATCCTGTCTCTATCCCCAGAACAATACATAAATACCAATTCTACATAGTGTCTAAATTACCTAGAATAACACAAAAAATCCAAAGAGCTAGAAACTGTGCTTGTAGATAGTACAGTGTGTAATACCAGATGGTTCATGAGGAACTCTTTGAGACAGAGAGACAGATAGACAGCAGAGATACAGACAGACATGTTACTGTATAAGAGTAAAACAAATAAATCAAAGGCTATCAATTCACTACTGTCATTAAGCGGAGAAAGATAGATAAGATGACGCTCATCATTGTCAGCGTGGGAGTGAAGAGATAATGAACACACTTGCATCAAGCTTCAAGGGAACTTATTATTTTTTTTATTTTTTAAAAACAGTTGGCCATCTCCCACAAAGGCCGGATGACCCAAAAAGAAAGAATTCCCCCCTAAAAAGAAAATACATTCATCATTCCAACAAACTTTTCACCTCACGTCATACCATAATCGCTGTTTTTTGCAGAGGTGACCCAGAAACACAACAGTTTAAGAAGCATAATACATATAAAGAAACACAACTATCCCTCCACAACTGCCATATCCAAAATCCCTCCATTAACACCTTTGACTGTTTTCAACCGTATAAATACGTCTTACGGCCAATGTTTTCTGAGAACCTATATATACTCAATAATTCTAGCGGCCTTCAAATCAAGCAGGGAGAAAGCAGGTAGGCCCACCTGTCCATGTGTGGTCAGTGTGCACCACATAAAAAAAATCCGCAGCACCCATTGCGGTAATTGAGAAAAAAAAAAACTATCGTTTTTTGAATAAAAAACGCCGACTTTTGAGGTGTATTTTCGTATAGTTATATACGATGTATTCGCGTTTTTTCATGTCCGTAAGGATGATAAAATGGAAAACATATTACAGAAATAGAGATTGATTTTCATTACTGAAGACGATGAAAACGACCTTGAAACTGAGCTCAAAGTAGCGGAAATGTCGATTTTTACCAATGTTCAGGAGTAAATAAATCACACCACACGTCCAATACATGTCAACTGGGGGATCCTCATATACTTCAACTAGTGCACTGATATTATTTATACCATTTTTAGCAATAATAGCAGTAGTCTGGCATAACAGTAAAATTTTTGTATTTTTTTGTATGAAATAAAAAATCAAAATAGAAAGCAATAAAATATAAGAAGCCTAGAGATGTGACTAAATGACCATAGCATAGTGTTATTTTATGCCACGAATGTCTACCTTGCTTTTCTGGACCCTATTTGAAATTGGCATCTTTTTTAGTTTTGCGTGAAATGGGGCCAAATTGCCAATTTCTGACCACTCCATAATTGGCAGTCCAAATTAGAAAATGTGAGGATTACTTGTACACAGCTGAAAAAATAAAATGGAGTTCTAAAGAAAAGCAATGAGTTTTGGTCAACTGGAACAATGGAATTGGTTGAAAATAGGCTAAAGTTCCGGCAAATCGACAATACACATGTCGCCGAGACCGAGCAATACGCGGGAGCATAATTCCATGAGTTTTCGAACCAAATCTCAAACTTTTGTGTCATTACCATCGGAAAAGATTCTCTATCAATTCATAAGAAAAAATAATTTTTTTTTTTCAAAAATTGAGAGCTGACATAGAATGACAGTTTCAGAGAAGGCTGAAACAGTCAAAGGGGTTAAAGTTCAGCATTAACTTCCCATTTCCAGACTCAAGTCCGCTATATAAAATAAAACCAGTTTCCCTGAATCCCTTTCACTAAATATACCCGCTACACAGAGTTACAGCTCGTCAGTCCCAAAACCATTCGTCCTCCATTCACTCCTATCTAACACACCTCCACGCATGGCTTGCTGGAAGTCAAGCCCCACGCCCACAAAACCTCCTTTACCCCCCTCCCTCCAACTTTTAGAGGATGACCCTACCCAGTCTTCCTTCTCCTACAGATTTATAACGCTTCTCCATGTCCATTCTACTTTGATCCATTCTCTCTAAATGACCAAACCACCTCAACAACTCCCTCTTCAGCCCTACAGACTCATACTTTTATTAACTCCACACGCTTTCTCCTAATTTCCCACACTCCAACTCTGTGCTAACATTTACACCAACACATTGCCTTAGACAGGACATCTTCCACCGCCGCTCGCTTGCTGCAGCATTTTACAACCCAAACTTCACACCCATATAAGAGAGTAGGTACTTACTATACTTTCATACATTCCCATCTTTGCCTCCACAGATGACGTTATTTTTTGTCTCCACATATACCTCAATGTACCAACTTCACCCTTTTTTCCTTCATCAATATCTATGATTAACCTCATCCTTCATAAATCCACCACTGAGCACATGCAACTTCCAAATATCTAAAAACATTCACTTCTTCCATACTACGCTCCACTCCAATTTATATCCACTTTTTTCTTTACCTAAATCATTTGATACCCTCATCACTTTCTTATTATTATTACTATTATTATTATTATTATTATTATTATATTATTATATAACTTCCACATATCCAAACTTTTGCCAGGACCCATAAGATACCTTGTATATACATGGACCTTCGACTAACATATAAATCCTTCCTGAGTAGCCCATCGAGTTAGTCGAAATTATCGTTACTCGAGCTTAATTTTCACCCATAAGGAAATAATGGAAATCAATTAATCCGTTCACTGACAACCCCACAGTATGAAAAAAAAAAAAATTTACACACATGAATTAATTTAATTAACACACAAACTCTTAAGAAGACATGTACAATTACATGACACTTACCTTATTTGAAGATCTGGTGATGATTGATGGTGATGGGAGGAGGGGACGTGTGGATGGTGGAGTGTTTAGAAGGGAAATCCCCCTTCCATTTAGGACTTGAGGTTGTCTAGTCCTTTTTCCAGGGTTACTGATCACTTCTTTTAATGCCATAGTGACCACTTTGAGAGTCACTGGACCTCCGTCACACTACATAAACCCTATTAGAGCTCTGTACCACCCTTCCTTTTTAAGACTTTCCTAAAATGGGCCATAAACATTGTCATGTACAGGTTGGCCAACACGGGCTGCATAGCTTGTGTCAGGTGATTAATTCATCAAAAAAGTTTCAACTTTAAGCCACATTGCACACACTTTCCTAATCTTTGAAGTAGGCCACTCCTCAATTTCTCTAATCCTCTCCACCGTAGCAGTTTCCTCAGTCCATTTTTTTTTTTTTTTGCCTCTTGCTGTTAAGATGATCTTGCCGCTTCCTCAGTGTTATTCATCACGTGTCATCCTCCACTAACTCTTCCACATCCTCCCCACAAACCTCCAACCCCTTAGCAATGATCTCTTTCTTCATATCCATAGTATTCGTCACAGCCTTTTGCTGTAGGGGTTGGCACTAGAAGCTTTCCTTGGGGCCCATCTTGACTTATTTTGCAGGTGCAATCACTACAAAAACACTTGATAGAAATGTTCCGAATTGTATGTTTGGATGGGACCGCGGTGGCTGGGCTGGCTGTAAACACTGGCCCACAAGTGAGACCGTCTCGAACGAACGAATCTGTTGTCGAGTTTTTTAGCGCTATCGAGCAAAATTTTTGCGTTAAAATGTATCGCTCTATCGGATTTATGTTAGACGATGACCATCGTTGTCGAGGGTCCCACTGTATTCCCAATGACAACAGTAAATGGCCAAGTGCAAGTGTAAATTGTCCACCTGTCAGTGTGTTTTGAGCATAATTTGATTACATTACAGTATCTAATCAGTGTCAGAACAAAGATAGGTTATGAAATGACAAGAACTACAATACATAGTAATTAACAGAACATAAAAATTATACAAAATATGAAAAATAGAAAAAAAGGTAATCGCAACACTTCCTGCCAGCAGCAGGACTTGACATGTTAGCTATGTCACGTGAGCCTCCAGTGCCAACAACTCGGCCTCATATCTCTAAGACTGTTCATACACTTGGCCCAAATTTTTTTATATCCTATAACTCCACCTCGGTGATACAGCGGTGTGTTTGAAAGAAAAAGATAATTTTAGAAAAATGTGCTCTTTTATTTTTCATTAAAAAAAAAACGACTTTTTTTTATTTTTCCAAAATATTCGGGGCACTGGTAAGTGAACATAATACAATATACATATTGGACCATTTACTGGTTAAAAAATAAATTATTGTTAAAATATATGGAGGACTGGGCAAAAAACGAAGATCTAACTTGGACAGGTAAGGGTGTTAATTACAAGTTTGTTTGAAGTGTGAGCAGGACTTGCATCCTGGAGGTGGAGAAGAGAAGTACCGCACTCTGAGGGAGTGGTGATGCAGCATTGATGTTTTATATCTGATTGTACACATGTAATCCCACTTGTGGAAAGATGGCAGACTGAGTGAATGGGAGACAGCAGAGAAGTTAAAGAATTCAATTCTACCACCAAGAAATTTAAATTAATATTAACTATGAGGAAAAAAAGTGTCTAAAAATAATCTTACTGCAAAACTTGCTCCCAGCAGTTCGAGCAAACCACTTTGGAGGTTTCTCAGTCTAATGGGTTGTGTGTGGCTTCCTGAGGAGCAACAGCAGGCATTTCCATTCCTGGGAAGAGTCTGGCTATCTGTGAAAACTGTCAAAAGCCAAATCAGTTAAATGCATGATTATGCCAATCAATTAAGTAATACATATAATGCATACGATGTAATGCAAGACCGACTACGGAGAAAGGGGAGGGGAAGGGTTGCGGAAAGCATCATTATGCAAATATATTTGTATACATATGTCATGTTATATACTAAGTTTTCTCATCCCACTAACTTGAGTATACTATACATTTTCTATAACATGTATTCTCACTATACACGGACGGGACCTGCACTAAACCCGGCAGATGTTGGGACCTGTGTGTGCCAGATTAGTGAGTTTGCCGGATTACAGAATGTTAAATACACTCATTAACCTATCAATAGAGAGACTTTCTATCACTCAGCTTTCTCCTCCACTGGCTATGCTGCTGTGGAAATTACAAGTCATCTGCACCATTTCTAGTCATTCTAACGAAGAAATGTTTTAGTCAGAAAAAGGATGAAATTTTAAATTATTCTAGCTGAAATTAGTGCCGGATTACTGGTGAACCGGATAACTGACTGCTGATTAGTGATGGCCGACCCGTATAATAAAAATAAGCAAATAGAAAATAGTACAGTACTTACTTTATCTGACTGAGTGGGAGGCTGACCACTACCTAACAAGGAGTATATGCTAACACAGCCATCAACAGATGACACAGCAACCAAGGAAGGATCCCGCTGACCCCAGTCCATGTCAAAACACCACTGGTTATAGGAAGGAAACTCCCCAACAATTTCTAAGCCACGTTCTGTTGCATTTGGATTCCACACACAAATTCTGAAATTTAAGATTAAGAAACCATACAATACTGCAAATTTAAACTGCAAGACTTGCTCATAAAACTGAAGAGGTGATAAAAACTGATTAGTACAGATAACTTGTTCAATTCAAACAAAATATTTTATACTCTAAACTAATATATCTATTCTGACAAACACATGCACTACTCCTCTCCTCCCCCCAGAAAATCCTTTACTGTAAAACAAAGGTTAATTTCACAAAAAACTGCAATGTTATCCTTTCATGTTCACCACAAAACTGCTGCTAGGGATCATTATTTTCAACTTTTACTATATCAACTTAATACAAGTCAAACAAGTAACAAGGAAAGCTGACAACGATGGGTATATTCTAATGAATATATGATATCTCTCATTACAATGATAAAATATCTAATCAATATTTAATTGTAGAAATAACTTTTTAATTTACAACTGAAACTGTCTCAAATTCATAGCAACCCTCTTGCTTCACACAATGAGTGTCCACAGTTCAGTCCCTGTTCACCTAACAGTAAACAGGTAACCTGGTGTTGGTCAAATGGTGAGGGGTCACATCCTGGGAGACAAGATTGAAGGACCCCATTGGAAATCAGACAGTCCTCAATGATGCACTGACTTTCTTGAGGCCTGGCAATGGACTGGGCCACAGGGTCGTTGACCCCCAGGTATACAGGCAGGCCCCCCGCTTTACAGCGCTTCACTTTACAGCGTTTAGTTAATGTAGAAGTTTCAATTACACCCATTCTTCAGACTTCCTACAATAAATATATTCACCACTAAGAAAAATATTTTAAGTAATGTGAGCACTATATGTGCATTTTTTTAGGCCTAGTTCTATCACTCAATATATGATAGTGTAAACATGTTATCAAGCTTTTTATATGCATTTGAAAGTGTAATAAGCAATTATCACTTATAGCAGTAGCCCGGAACCTAACCTGCTGTATAAGTGTGGCCATTCTGTACTTCAGGAACAGTGCTTCGACAGCCTGAGAGAATGCATCTCTTTTCCTTGGTATGAATGCCACATAGTGCTCCGTTTTCCTCTTGCAAAATAAAATTGTCACTCACTATGCCTTTTTTTTCTTTTCCAAAATGCAGTTATCACTTACTTGTTATCCTTTGCTGCAGTTATCAACAAATTTTCCGTCATGAAACACACCAAGCAGTTTTCACAATGCCACGCTGGTGCCCCTCCAGTGTCTTGAGAGAAGAAGTAGCATAACGAAGATCCCAAACTTGAGCCCATGGTGTAGTGTCATCATCACTGGCTAGTAGTAACTGTGTTGCCACACTGGGGTTCCAGATGATACTGCTTGCTTTCATCTATAAAAGCAAAGTAATATTACTCTATTTCCCCTTATTTTACATTGTGTTCTTTCAATATTTGGCATAAGACAACTACAGCAATACTACTCTATTTTACTTTTACTGATCAATTGCAAACAAACTTGATATAATTCTTTACCTGCAGATACAGTACTTTTAAAATTATTAAACAGATTAATAGGGAGGAAAGTGTCCAGTAATGCTGACTGTTTATACTATATGTACACGATTTACAGGCATGACGTACAAAAATATTTAAATTAGTTAAAAGTACAGAAGAGTAATTTTGTTTGCCTTTTGTTGATATGTATACAGTTAATGCCTTGGCCTTCATTTCAACAATAACGAAC